TACCTTTTTATATGGAAGATAATTTATATCATCCATGTTTAGAGCTTTTTAAACATCAACTTTACTTTCTAGGTAATGTGGCTGTGCAATATTTTTTTAATTTTATCTTTTTACTTTTCTATTTTCATATATTTTGCTACATAAGTATTTCAGTGAAACTTTAAGCCCATACATATGTCTGATTGTTTATTATTGGCTTTCCACAATCCGTATATCAGACACATCATACTAGAGGACATTATTGCTAGAATAGCATGGGATTTTAAATTTTCTAGTATGGGGGTATTTTTAGTTAATTATAAATTTTACTTTTACCATTTTACTATGTTTTAACTGGAAATAAAATTATGGCTGCTAAAATATATTTTTTGAAATCAACTCTTCAGCCCTGCCAAATGAGGTAGTTCGTATATGACAATGTTATAAAAGTTTTCTATAAAAAGTCACTACTGTTGCTATTAAACATATGTCATGCCTATTAAAATATATTTTCTACTGGTAATTTCAACATTGTTTCTCACATTGACTTTTATTACTGGAACTTTTCATGTTCATGTTAGCAGCATCTAGAGATTTTTGAATGAATGCCCTTTGCCTTGATTTAGTTGGAATTTTGTTAAATTTGGTAATGTTGCTTGAACTTTCTGACTACATTTCTTTAACTTTTTTTCATGGACTTCTTGTATGTACATAATAATTAAATGTTGAAATTTATGAAATACTTTTATGAATTTAGATAATTTTTAAATATTGTTAAAATTTGTTGAACTAAAGAGTAATGTAAATAAAATAATTCATGTTAAAAATGGAACAAAATAATTAACTTTACATGTTTGGTGATACAGATGCAAATGTTTTTGATATATGGAGATGATGTTAAGTCTTTTGACTTTACTAAAGGTGCTGAATAGCATTAAATTCTCTATTTTCCTTTACTGTTTCACTTGCAAAAATCATAATGCACTAAGGGTGGATAGAAGTCTGTTTGCATTCACCAGTTGTGACTGGACACAAAGTTTTTGTAAGTATGTATTGTATGATTGATGCATGTTTACTTTTAGCATTGTGTTATTGCCTCTGGTGTTAATAAATGAACAAATGACTAGAGGAACAGCTAAAACACTTGCTTATTTTCAGAATACTAGAGGTATGTTTTTATTTTTAATTGGATAGACTATTATTTATAGATCAGCATGACTGTATAACTTACAGCCTTTGTAAAGTATAATTTACATCTTTTGCATATATTAAGTAGTTAAAAGTTACTTCATTGGTAGCTCTCCATAAATCTTTACTTTTTAAAAAAGTACTTGAAAACTTAATGAAATGACTAAGCAATAATATACCAAGTGCATTATAACTGGAAAATGTAAATATATGCATTATCCACCATATATTTTTGCCACACACATTTTTCATCTTCACATACCTTGACCCTGAATTTGAAATATCATGCTTATTTCTAAGTTTGAATAATCTCTTCCAGGTTTATCAAAGGATTCTTCTTACTCATAGTCATATCATTGTATTTAAGGCTAAATTGCTCTTATGATCATAGTCTTCAGTTTGCCAGTGATCATGAAGACTGATTATTACTTGTCACCACTGCCACTTCCTCTGTTTCCTTTGTTTTCAACCAGCTCCTCAGCTGATCAGATCTGTTTACCTAATGGGTCACACAAGGATCTGCAGCTTGGGTGGTTTTGCCTATATATGGTTATAACAGCTCTTTGCTTAGTTTTCACAATTCAACATGATATTGATAAGATTCCCAAGTTCTAGTCAAACACCCCTACCTACTCCCTTTCCCCCCATGGTCATTGGGGCCAATCATTCCAGCTGGCACCATAACCACTTTTTCTAACTCCCTACCTAGAGGAATGAGCTAAAAATGATCAAGTGGAAATCCCAACTTCCAATTCAGGGAAAACATATCCCCTTGTACCTCACTTGGAGTGTAAAAATTGGTATACCAACAGAACCTGGAATCATGGAGATGGATGACAAGATCAGTGAAGGGTCTGAGATTTTATCCTACTCACTGGCTTGTTTGCCACAGTTTCAGGGATGCTGGGCAAGAGACAAAAGACTTTATTAGAGCAAAACAGTAGCCAAGTGTCAGCATATTTGCACTAGTTCCTGGAGCCCCAGCCCCCCCAGTGATGCAGAGGGCCAGATGACACCTGTACACGTGGTATGTTGCATTACAGAAGGATCCAAGGCTGAGGGCCAAGCAGTTTTTGAGCAAGCAGTAAAGAAGCCTGTATCATTCCCCCAAGGGAGCAGCAGCTAAATGGTAGTGATGCTGTGGTTGCTTTGACCTACTTAGATGCCTGTATGACTAGCTACAGAAATGCTCAGTATCAGGAGGTGGATGAGCCTTGCAGTTGGTATACTCAGCAGTAATATGCAGGGTCCCTCAGGACTCATGCATGCAGATTGTTTCTCCCCACAATGGAAAGCAAAATACATAGGTCGTGTGTCAGATGTAACAAGGTGTCAATCCCTCTGCTACTCTTTGGACACTGGTATTCTATCAACTGAAGAGATCATTGAATACTGTTAAGTCAGTTGGAGCATATGCCAAATCCTCTAGGACAACATCCCAAAGTGTGTTTTCTCACCTAGTTCCAAAAGTAAACCAGTAGGACTGTCCATTATTTTATAAGACCATTTGCTTCTGGTCTGATGGGATATGTGATAAGACTGGTTAATCCCATACCCTGCTTTACATCTTTCACAGGAAAGTGAGTTCTAGGGTAAGAGGCAGTGTTGTATGGGATCCTACATGAGGTGTATGGTGGATACTCCACAGATGGAGTATATTAAAGAAGCATAAATCAGGGAAAGCAACCGAAACCCAGGACAGTCTATTCCTATAGAACAAGCTGCTGCTTCATTATAGTAGGATCCCACTGTTATCAAACCTGCCACCCAGGTTTGATAGTACAAATAATAGTGCTAACCAGTCAGTCTTGGCAGAGGAAAGTAATGTTAAAAATATGTGCATGTCTCCATGCCACTGTGGTGATCTTGTTAGTGAGCAACTGAGCAAACAACTGTAGTGGGGGAAGGAAGACTGGTGCCTACAGAGTGGGTCATTGTGGTAGGCAGCCTCTAAAAGAGCCTTCAATGATCCCCACCTGCCTGTATTCATCCCCTGTGTAACCCCCTCCCTCTGAGAGTGGGCTGGACCTAATCTAATGCTAAAATACAGCAAAAGTGATGCATGTCCCTTTTGAGATTAGACTTCAAAAAGACTTGTTTTCCATCTTGATCAATCCCCCCTTTTCTCCCATTTATTCATTCTGTGGAAAAATAGCTGCTATGTTGTGAGATGACCTTTGGAGAAACAAACGTAGCAAGGAACTGAGGGAGGCCTATAGTCCAGCTAAAACATCCTGCCAGTAATGTGTGTTTGAAGGCAGATCCCTCCCCTAGTCGTTTCTCCATATGAAACTGGAACCCCAGTGAACAGCTTGACTGTAACCTCATTTAAGAGGTAGGGCCAGAGGCACACTGGCTCCTGGATTCCTGGTGCACAAAAACTGGGAGAATAAATGTTTTTTAGGCCACAAAATTTTGGTATGTTAGACAGCAGTAGAGTCAACTTGTTCTGATTAAGAGCCCTTTAGCATCGACAGCCTTTTTTTGAGCATTCATTGGAACCCAAATGTTCTTATGCTTTGGGGCCATTTTGAGAGGTCCTATTGCACAGTATTCCAGAGCCTTCTATTCCCAGTCCCTGACCACTTGACTACTGGAAGGATGTAGATCTTTATTTCAAGTCATATCTCCTACCAGGCAAAATGCACAAGATAAAGTCCCGCCCTCTGGGAGGATGTTTTTCCACACTGCTATTCCTTGAGGGCTTCTGTTAGATGGGGCTCTAAGTGCCAAAGCCAGTCTCCTGCCAGCTGGGTCGGTACATTGAGCAAAACCATCTGTAATTCAGCTTTGAATTTTTTCCTCAGCTAACTGGTCACAAGGAACTCATCATTAAAGTGTAGATGTGAGCCCGCCCGGGCATGGCTCAGCGGTTGAGCATCGACCTAGGATCCAGGCGATCAGGGTTCGATCCCTGGTCAGGGCACATGCCAGGGTTGCGGGCTCCATCAATGACTCTCTCATCATTGATGTTTCTCTCTCTCCCTCTCCTTCTCTCTGAAATCAATAAAGATATATTTAAAAAATAAACTATAGATGTGACCTAAGTGTCAGAAGTATGACTGTGAGCTACCTGCTAATGGAAATTGGTGAGCTTTTTGGCTCTGTATATACCACTTCCTCTTAGTAAAAGAACCCCTATCTAGAATAAGCGGATAACACGCATAGCCACCTGATGTCACGCGGTCAGACACTGCATGGGCCCAATAGCTAGCCAAGAAATTTTCTTTAAAAAAAAAAAAAAAAAGACAAAATTCTGGAGACCTCCCCTGTGGTGCTGTGAAGTCTTCCGCGGGTTTCATAAAGCCCCCGATCTGCCACACACGCTCCCAACAAACTGGAGCTGTTGGAATTTAAGGGGCCAATTGGCAGGTCTCCTTTCACAGCAGCCTGGGCAAGATGGAAAATCTCCTCTTGCTCTGCACCTCACTCAGGACTCATCTTTCAAGTCATCCGGTCAATGACCGACGAATTAGTTCACCGAACGAGCAGAGATTTAAAAAGAGAACCGAGAGGAAAATAAACGATGCTCAACCTTTGTATACTATAAAGGAGACCTGCCAAGGTTTTTCCTCAGGTTTAGAGGAGTCATCGAAATTACTCCCTCATCCAACTTCAGCCATGACTTGGGGGTTTAACTAACACAGGCCTCGGGGTGGTTTGGGTCGTTCGCGACGGTCCTGGGCTGCTTCCCGCGGTCGCTCGCTGCAAACGGCCTTGGCCAAGGGCGCGGATTCCTAGGGCGGGGGTACGGAGGCCCCGCCCCTCCCGCGGAGNCCCGCCCCTCCTGAGGGGGCGACGGGAGAGGACTCCGCCGGCTCCCTCCCTCCCCGGGCCTGTGCGGACTCTGCGGGACTCGGCGCCATGACTGCCGCCGGGCTTCTCGGTCGCGCTCCGGCCACAGCGTGGAGAGCGGCAAGTAAGGCGCCTGGCCAGGAGCCAAGGTCGCGGGCGGGTCCCCGGTGCCGCGAGACAGGCCTCTGGCGGGGCAAGCCGCGTGTGTCCCAGGCGTTTGAGGGTGAGGGGTCGCCGAGCTCCTCTCTCACTCAGCTCGGCCACCCGCGTCTTGGCCCTGCGGCAGGTCTCGTACCGCCGGGATCTCAGGGGTGGGACTAGAGCTAGAAGATCCCCAAAAGCTTTCCGCCCCGGACACCTGCTTCCTTCCGGCCACTGCTTGTTGTAGAACTGAAGCAACCTAAAACTGGCACACATCACTTTCAGTCTCGGCCGGGGGTGACCCTTGGACACTGGGCTGCTTGCCCGCAGGGGAGGCTGGGAAACGGGCTCTCTCAGGGAGCGGCCTGGGGCTCAGGTTAATAGCTATATTTGCATCATTTAAGAGGTAAAATTTTTAGCCTCAGAATTTGTCTACATTACCATTGGTAACCAGGGATGTATTCTGTGCCATTTTTATGATTTTGCATAAATGCTTAGGAATTTCTACAGATTTGGAATATACCAAAATTACTTTTTATACTGATTATTATTTCAAGCTTTCAATTAAGAGATTTAAAAAAAAATTTGCAACAACCACCAAACCTAAAACAAGAGTGATTTTATTGTGTTGAGTTGAGCCTGAGCACACAGTATCAGGTAGCTACTCTTATGTATTAGATACTTACTGATTTTTAGGCTTCAAAGTGAGTTATTTAATGTATAATAAAGTATACTTAATTAGTAACCAAATGCAAAGACTACTCATTAGCCAAAGTAGATGTAAAATCTGTCCACATTTGGAATCTAATATGTAATTGTTAGAATTCTCCTTTCTGTGTATCTATATTATTACTGAACTATCATGACTTAGCATACAGTCTTTTTTGCTTTACTAATTGGTAATAGATTTGTTGACAAATGGATATTTAGACATCGGATGATGGACAGAATTTCTACTGTGGAGGGTGCATGAACTTGCTAAATTGAGATACAAGGTCAAGTTATAAAGAATCCTATATTTCAGATAACATGACTAAGTGATTTAAAAATCCTGTTATTTGGACTGAGAAAGTCCTTCAGTTGTGCATAGTTTATTATCACCAACATTTTCAATGTATTTTCTAAATAGTCAACCATAATAAACCAAGATGAGGTTATTATATTTAATATATTAATATAATCAGAAACTCAGATTTGTATGTTTTCCACTTAATTTCTAAATAAAAACAAATGCTGCCTTATACTATTGCATGTTTTTCTGTTTAGCCTTTTAGTATATGTTTAAGTATACTTATGAGGAGATAAGAAAAATAAAATACGCTTCAGTTATTGAAGTGGAGTTTGAAGACAGAATAGTCGGTACCATAAATCAATAAATAAATAAAAACTTTTAATAGATAAGCGTATTTATTTTATTTTATTTTTATTTTTTATACATGCAACACACTTAAAACAGGGCCCAGCACATGATAAGCCAGTGTATTTATTTTAATACAGAAATTTTTTTGGTCCACAGAATTTTTCTTAGCCAGTTAGTATCATAAATATGAAGTATTTTATATTAGTGAGCATGTAGATGAAAAGAAACTATATTAATTCCATAGATCATTGTCATCACTTTATTAAAATATTGATGAATAGCCTGGCTCGGTGGTTAGAACATTGGCCTGCACACCAAAGGGTCTTGGGTTCAGTTCCCAGGCAAGGGCATGTACCTGAGTTGCAGGTTCGATCCCCAGCCCTGGTTGGGGTGTGTATGGGAGGCAACCAATCTGTGTGCCTCTCTCACATCGATGTTTCTTTCTCTTCTCCTGCCTCCCTCCCTTCTACTCTCTCTAAAAAGCAATGGAAGAAATATCCTCAGGTGAGAATTAACAACAACAAAAAAAACATTAATAAATAAATTCTTATTTTCTATAATCCAGTTTGACTATTTTTCAATTCTTAAATGCATCTGCCTGATACATTTTTAAAATTTTGGTTGGCAGGAATAGAGGCCCATGATTAGGATTTACCTGTAAGAATACTAAATATAGTCTCTTGTGACTTCTAGATATATACTAAATATTGTCATTGAAAAATTCATACTAATTAGTTATTCTTAACAATATGATTCCCGGCATTTTTGGCATTGCTTCAGATAGGCATCAGTATTTCATATATAAGTTCCTACAATTTTGACAGTGGTTAACTAGCCTCTTTCAAAGCTCTTCTTTTCAAACTGATATTGGTTGCTGCCAAGGAAAGGAAATGGCTGTCTGGAAGATATGGACAGAGGGAAGAATTTTCACTGTGTGTCCTTTTGTACTTTTTGAACTTTGACAAATGTGAATGTATAAACTAAAAATAAAGTAAAATTATTAAATTTTAAAAATAGAATAAATGAACAGCTCCTATTTTTCCGCTATCCCCGCTCTGCTAGGATCCCCCCTTCTGTGTCATTCTTTGAGGAAAACAAGTTCTCAAGGAGGAAAGTCTGAGCCTATCCAACAACCCCTCAAGAAGCCAAAGTTACCTCAAGGTCGTTTTGATGCACCAGAAGACACCCATTTAGAGAAAGAACCACTGACAAGTAAGTACAGTAAAGCTGCTCACATTTCAAGACTGCATGGTAGCCTAGTCATGGTATCTGGCCTCCTAACTGCGTAACTCTGCAACCTTGTCTTCAGAATTGCCCATAATGCTTTTCCTGTCTCTTTGACTGCGTTGTTCACATCTTTCTTCAGAATTTCCAAATGATGTTAATCCTGTTACCAAAGAAAGAGGTGGACCCAGGGGCCCAGAACCTACCCGATATGGAGATTGGGAACGAAAAGGACGCTGTATTGATTTTTAAGCCACATATTCTTTAACTTCAATATTTTTTTCTGAATACATACATCTGAATTAACTTATTTCTAATTATTTACTTTCTGTATATTCTTTAATCATCTAATTTCTGTAATGTGTTTAAAAGTGTATATGATGGCTTTGAAAGAAATATGCTCCTATAAATGAGGAAAGGGAAAATATTTCTGCATGAGCACATTAATTTTAATTTAAATGTATTGGGGTATATAAGTGATTATTAGAACTGTAAACTTCTTCATGTTTTAGTTTAAATTCATTTAGTTGTTTATAAAATGCAAATGTAAATAAAGCAACTTTTTTTTAATGAGTGTATTGCCTTGTGCTAGATAATATTGGCTTTTTAAAATGTGAGTTAAGGTGCTCGCTTCGGCAGCACGTATATTAAATGTGAGGTAAGTAGTGCATTCTCTTTGAGAAGTCTATAGTAATAGCAGAAAGTCTTTAACTTGGAGCTAGATTGCTTGGGTACAAATCCTGGCTCTACTACTTACTAGCTATGTGACCTTGGGTAAGTTATTTAACTTCTCTGTGCTTCAGTTTCCTTATGTGTAAGTTGGAGATAGAACTAGTTCTACCTCACAGGGCAGTTGAGAAGATTTTATGAATAAATACCTGTAAACCACTTAGAACCATAGCACATAGCTCTCAGTAATGATAGCGGTCCTTAAATCATGAATGCATTTTTCCAAGTCTTTAGGCTTCCTGGGGAAAAAGATTAAGAAACCAAAATTTGAAATACTTGAGTTGAAATTGTTTTATATGACTATAACAATAAAAAGTCATTGATTGGAAAATTGGTGATTATTTGCATAGGTGAACTGAGCTGAAATATACATTCATTTGTGAAACAAAATTCAACTACAGAGGGCAACTATGAGAAATGTGGGGCATAGAATGGACCAGCTTAGTTCTGATGACTCAGTAGGTCCTGCCCCTGTGGCCTTTGGCTAACTAACTGGGTCAGGAGAAGTCAAGTCCAGTTTACAGATCTGGGATGAAGGAGGGATGAGAACTGCTGGGCCTCCCTTAAGGCCTCCTTTGCTGTCCTGTGGCCTCACTCAGTCATAGAGATTGGCCCTTCTGCCTTCAGGCTACACTTAAATTGGGAAGTAAGGGTTTGCAAAGCTTATAGAGGACAGAATACACTGGGCCGATTATTGTGTGATATAAATCAGGAGTGCAATGAGAAGATTGTAGGGATACTTGTTGAAGAGAATGAACTTTTTTAAAAGTATATTCTCCCCAGAAACAAACTAACTAGTATGGTAATTGGGACTAGTCATTCAGTCTTTATACCATTCTCTCTCTGTCAAGATTTGTTCTCTAATTGCAGCTACTGCGTATGCTGCTAAGTAGTAATGACATTCCTATAAAACTGTGCTATAATTTAGTCAACCTCCAATTAGCCCAAATTAGCGAAGGTTTTTACTAAATTAACATTTCAGAACTACTGTGTTAAATTATTTTGTATTGTCTTGTTTTGCTTGGATTCCACACTAATCATCATGCTATGTGATGGAGAAAAGACAAGTTACATACCTCAAAAATAATATAAAATGTGGAACAACCAAAGTGTTGCATTAACATAATAGAATCTTTAATCTCTGTTACTAGTAACATGATTCCTGACAGCAACAAATATATAGGTAGAAGTTCATGGCATGAAAACACTTATTTTATGTCCATCAAACATTAACAGAAAAACCTGAAGACTTACCAAAGGTGGTGTGGTGGCAATGGATGCATCACTCAGCTCTCCACCTGTGGGAAGGAGCGCTGACTGAGATCCCCAGCTGCTGCCCATTGGATCCACTGTTGTGTTTCTGCTGAGGCCATGCTCCCTTCACGCTGTTTCTAGCCATGAATGAGTGTGGCGGGGCTACAGCGAATGAATATGATGGCCAGCTCCCCTGATGGGTGATGTGAGTTCAAAGGACTCACCAGTAGCCTTTCCAGAATTTTCTCAGGGCTGTGCTGCTGTCTGACACTCTTCCTACCCAATCCTGTCCTTCCCTCTCTCCTTCACAGATAGACTCTGCCTATTCCTCCCTTTTATAATTCACAAAAGCCTCCCCAATAAATCTCTTTCACATTTAATCCCATTTTAGCATCTGTTTCTCAGAAAACTCAAACTAAAGTGGGTAAGTTTAAAAGAACAATTTACAGATTTTCAGAAAACGTCACACAAAGCTTGTGTGGCTTTTTCTAGCGTAATCATAGTTTAAACACTTTAATTTACATTACTAGAGGGATTTCTGGGAAATTATAGACTGAGCTTTTATGTACAAAGCTCATACCATGGAGCCTTGTACATATTAGGTGTTTTGGTGGAATCAACTTATGTCCAGTATTTTTTCTTATTTTGATGTCAATTGCTGAGACCTGTCATGAGTCAAAATATAATATTACCTATAATTAAACTAGTAAGAAGAAGCCTAAAGCCATGTTCTACTAGTAAATAACAAATGCTTGTTGTATGAATAGAATAGTTTATAATGAGCAAACTTTATAATAGTGATTATTAATGATCTATGAGCAATTTTAGTGATAATTTCAGAACAGGACAGTACTTTTATAAGTGCAGAATAAGAATGGTGGTCAACTATTAGTTAACCACTGGTTGACCAATTAGGAAGGAAAGGAAAGTGAAAAGTGTCTGATGAGTGCATTCATCCATTCAGTTAATGCTTTCATTTAATCAGTGTCGATTATTTGTTTGCCATTGCCAGATATTCTGCTAGACTGTGTATTTCGTGATAAATGAGACAGATCCCTTGCCATTCTGGCATAAAGTCTGGTGGGTTTGATTTGCACATGAGAACAGTTCCAAAAGACAGCTGACAGAAGACCAAATGGATTGCAAGTGACTCTAATTCCCCCCAAACAAACCAAAGGAGACTTCCCAGATTTGATGAGGCTATCCTTTCTGGGTTTTTGATACCAGAAACCTGTTTTTCACCTTTTTAAATATAAACTGACTCTGTGAGATACTTATTAGTAAAGATACTTATTTATACAGTGATCGAATGTGTTCTGACCTCGCCATATATCAGCCTCCTTAGACATTAACCAAGAAGAAGATATGGAGTGAGCAGAGCGATATAATTAAGAGTCTTGGACATAGAAAGATTCCTCAAGCCATTCCTGGCTCAAGGAGAACATTTTGAGTGGGCATCCCTCTGCACAAACACTGGAACTAAAGCTGCCTCTGAATTCCTTAAGCGAGGGCCGTCTACTGTGGGTGAATTATAAATATTATTGTACAATCCATGAATTGGAGGATATGTGTGAATATTAAGAAATATTTATGATTAATAAGTATTCAGTATCAGTTCTGTGTCCTCTGGGTACTTTGTTCTAAGTTGTCCTCAGCTCTGTCATTTGTAGAAATAGATAGCACTTTCTGGCGCTCCTGTAGACTCGGCCTTGGTTCTAATGTGTGCTGCTTTTGCATCTCCCTCTCCTCCTTCTCTTTAGAGGACAATACCAAATATTCTCCCTAAACCAACTTCTCTCTCATATTCACCCAAATCTCAGTGGAGATTTAAAGAAAAACGTAGCTTTCTCCATTATTCAGGGTTTTTGGATAAAGATCACAGAATCTACTCTGTTTCAGTAGCTATTAAACTTTCCTGTCTTCGGGTCCTGTTATACTTTAAAAAAATTTTTGAAGTCCCTAAACTGCTTAGGGCACCAAAGAACTTTTGCTGGTGGGTATTATATCTATTGATCCTGTATTATGAATGAAAACTGAGCAATCTTTAAAATATTTAATTCATTTAAAAATAACCCAATAATAAATCCATTGCATGTTAACATAACATTTTTTGTGTGTGCAAAATAACTAAAATAACTGTTCAAAACAAAAAGCAATTAAGAAGAGTGCAGTACTCTTTAATGCCTAACTTCATAGAAGGCAGCTATATTCTCATATCACCTTCTGCATTCCTTCCGTTGTGACATCAATTGACATATAATAAAAGCTGACTTCACACAGAAGCGTAGTTGGCAAAGCGTAGTTGGCACACACCCTGAAAGGGTCTTGGAGACCCTAGGGCCCTGGGACATCACATTTCTAAGAACTGCTGAGCTGATTTAAGTAGGAAGGGAGGTACTGAATACTGACTCTGGAAGGGCTAGCAGAACAGGCTGAGCCTCCAAGACCAAGTTTGAGAACTACACAAGAGCGCTGGCGGGAGAAGGGAGCTGCTGCCTGAAATCAATTAACTACACCTCTCAGGCAGCAACCTGCAACCGCCACCACCACAGGCCCCAGAGCCCTTACGACTGTTACTGCTGCCACTTGCACCCACAAAATGAAGTCCCATGGCTTCCTCTTCCCCTCATCTAACCCATTTCTGCATCATTGTCTCATGCTGATGTTTCTGATTAGACACTAAAGTCAGATGTCTGCATCCTAGTGGAGGCTGAGAAGTATACTAATACCTAATTCTCGAGATGGTGCTTATAAGATTTTGGACAGACACAAATGTTACTTATTTACTACCATTATCTAGGAAAACAACTAGCTGAGAATTCGTTTTATTGGGGCATACAATATAGAAATGTAAATGTATATATATTTCCATATATGACATAGAAGCATAAAATTGAGCTTAAATACTCCCTGAGCATGTTAGATGTTATTCCTGCTCACTTGAAGAATGCTTCCATAAAGATTGGGCATTTGAGCCTGTGATTTATTTTTATGCCTTTTACAAAGCCTTGGTTAATGAATATGAAGATTAGTTATATGAAAAGTTGCTTAAAATTCTGTAACATCCTATATTCTTTAAAATACGGTTTAGGTATATTTAGGCTGTGTATTTCTAACTTGGTCTTAGCAAGTGGAATCTTGTCTGAAGCCCTGAAGCTGCAACTACTCCTCCTTAGCTGTTCATGGACAGACTGAGAAAGGAGTTTGTTGTTCATGCAGGTGTGAGGAGATGAAAGTCAAAGGTGTTTCAGAAGCAACCTAGAATATTGGAAGCTGAAAACACCCACAGGGAAAAACCTTTGCAGGATTGCCTGAAGTAGCCCCTTGGGGAAAATCTGAAATAATAAATTGAGATATTATAGACTGTGGAGTGTAACTATTATCTTAAAAATTGTATATTTCTTAGCACCTGAGGTCACTATATTCAAATCAGTATTTACAACTTTAAAGGCATGTAAAATTTAGATTCTTTGGTTTGCCAGAAGAGCTTCATATTTCGCATCATTCCTAAGTCAGTGGCCCAGGTAGATCCCTTATTTTTAAAAAGGTTACAGAAGCTTTTGTTTTGGTAGTTATCCTCTCATTTTCATT